GGTGGCTGACAAACCCTTGTCGCTCCTTCTACCTGCAGCGCCTCCAGAACCACAACTGGACGCAGGGGGACTACTCGGACGTGGTGGTGACCATGAGTCAGATCTGGGCGGCCCTCCGCGGGGACGTGGCCCCCGAAGCCACCGCCACGGAGTCCCAAGAATTCGTCCGGACCACGACCAAGTACTGGGTGCAGGACGAGGACATCTCCCAGCTCAAGTGGTTCGTGCTGCAGCACCTGCCCGTTCTGCTCCAGGAGAGCATGGGGACCAAGTCCGACTCCCAGCTCGTCAACTCCGTCTACCTCGACAACGCGACCTTGGAGCTCTACAAGGGTCGGCTGGACAAGACGCCGGGGGCGATCGCCGTCCGCTTCCGTTGGTACGGCTCTGGGATCCCGGAACTGGTCTTTGTGGAGCGCAAGACCCACCGCGAGGCTTGGACGCAGGAGATGTCGGTCAAGGAGCGATTCACCGTGCACCCCTCCGAGGTCCCCTCCATCCTGAACGGCACCTTCGACAAGGCCCCGCACGTGGCGAAGATGCGGGCCAAGGGTAAGTCGGACAAGGAAATGGAGGACTGGGACGTCCTGGTCACGGAGGTCTGCCAGGCAATCATCTGCAAGCAGCTCGTGCCCACGCTTCGCACCCAGTACATGCGCACGGCCTTCCAGATCCCCTTTGACGCGACGGTTCGCATCTCGCTGGACACGAATTTGTGCATGCTCACGGAGACGGGCCGGCTGGGGATGGAGAAGGACCGTTGGTTCCGCGACCCGTCCAAGCCGGTGCCCCGCAACGAGATCACCCGCTTCCCGCACGCCGTTTTGGAGGTGAAGCTCCAGCTCAAGGACGAGACCTCCAAGCCCCAGTGGGTCACGGATCTGCTTAATTCAGGTGGGTGCCAGTGCGGTGTGGCACACGCAGGCAGTCCAAGACCCTGTCCTCGGACGGCCCCTCTCGTCGTGCCTGTACCCCCCCCGTCTGACCCCACGCCCTCCCTCCCCCCTTCAACCTCTGCCAGGCATCCCTCGCGAGGTGCACAAATTCTCCAAGTTTATCCACGGGTGCGCCGTCCTGCTCCCCGAGGAGGTCCAGGCGATGCCGTACTGGATCGATGACCCCTCCCTTCGCGAGTCGATCGCCGCCTCGGGGTCGGAGGAGATCTTGGAGCCGGACGAGAACGGAGGGGAAGGAGGGAAAGGGGCGGGCGGGACCGCCTCCATGTTTTCGCACATGTTGCCGCATGGGAAAGAAGGGAAAGCGGCCAAGCTGGCGGAGGCGGCGAAGCGAAAGCCAGCCCCGACCCCGCGACGGGACAGCCAGACCCCCCTGCCTTCCCGCGCGCCCCCATCCAAGGGCCAGGCGTGGGCCACCCCTCTCCTGTCTTCCAAGGAAGAGGAGTACTACGAGGAGGACGAGGAGGAGGGACCGGGGTGCCTGGAGAGCACCTGTGGGGCCTGCTTCTCGTGGACGCTCCCCCCCGAGATGAACGCCCGCATGGCGCAGCAAAAGGTGGAGCCCAAGCTCTTCTTTGCCAACGAGCGCACCTTCATCCACTGGCTGAACATGGCCGTGACCATCTCCTCCCTGGGGGCTGCGGTCCTGGCCTTCTCCCCCGAGGACACCCTGAGTGAACTTTACGGGGTCATCCTTATGCCCGTGTCCCTCCTCTTCGCCATGTACGCCCTCCAAACCTACATCAGCCGCGGCTCCAAGATCCGCCTGCGAGAGCCGACACGTTGGGATGACCCCATGGGCCCGATTTTGCTGGGAACCGTCTTCACGGTGGCGCTCACGGCCCAGTTCTTTTTGAAACTGGCGCACGTGATGAAGCAGAACGGGGGGGCGTGAGCTGAGACCGAGGCCTACGGGCGGACAGGGCTCTGGATCCCGTCATGGGAGGACTGAGGGTAGACGGCTTAGAGGCAGCAAGGTCTTTTTGGGGGCAGTGGCAGGGTAGGATTGCGGAGGTAGGGTGAGGTAGAGGGTTCTGAGATCGACAGTGATGGTGTCCCTTGGCCGTGCAGGAGGGAGGGACGAAGGGGGGGCAAGGTCTGATGGAGTGGGAACGAACAAGTTAAAACTGAACGGTAGTATGGAGAGGCAAACGGGAATTTGGCGTTGGGTCAGAAGCTGGTGGTCGGTGGGATGAGCGTCGGAACGGTTAGCCCTTTATACCAGCGTGCTCGAGAGGGATCTTCGATAGAGTGACATGGAGGGGGGAAGTATTTCGGCGGGAGTAATCAGGTTAACGGACAAATTTCATATTCATGTCTTATCCAGTCGATGAAGCTTAGCGTTTTCGCCACCCTGTGGGCGTCAATTTTTTTTTGGCATCGTAACGCGCATTCCATAGTTCGTCAATCCTCTTTCTGTGGGCATAATAGATCTCTCCTCCTTGAGAATCGCCGCGTCAAAGGTCCAGAATCGCCGCGTCAAAGGTCCATTAATATAACCCTCTTTCAGCTTCTGGCAAAAGACCCCACGCTAACAAACCCTTGAGCATCGCACCCTATGTGTGCATCGCCGCCCTATCTACCCACCTCTCTCTTCCGATCTCTCGTTTGCACTACCTATTCCAGCTCGATTTTCCCCAACCGCAAAGCCTGCTGCATTGCCCCAACGAAAGACGCCACGGTGATCGTCCTCGGCGCGGCCAACAGCGCGTGGGCCAGCAGGGGAAGTTTTCGCAGGGCCCGTCCACTCGCCCCCTCTGTTTGCTCGACTAGGCGAATGAGTTCTAATCTTAGACTGCAAATCTGCCGTTGCTCTTGCTGCGCCATGACAGTGGCAGACGGAGGAGGGGAAGAGGGAGCGGAGACAGGGGAGCAAAAAGAGGAAGTGTCTGCTACCGTGCAGACTACAGATCCGGGAGCTTCGTCCGCCGGACTAGCAGGCTGAGAAAGAAAATCAAGCCGCTCGGGTAGGGGCACTGCGGGCGCCAAAATTTCCACCCGTATCAATTCGGATAGGACAGATCGCAATATAGCATACCGTCCGTCGGCCTCAGGCAGACCTACGTGGAGCTTCAAATCACATCTGTCTAGGAAGGCGGTGTCTAACGCCTGTGTGATATTACTTGTGGCTACGGTCAAAACGTTCCGAAAGGCCCGCAAGCGATCGATCTCCGTCAAGACCGCATTCACGACGCGGACGGCATCGCTCGGTTCGTTGCTTCCTTTTGCGAGAGCAATTTCGCGGGAGGCACAAATGGTCTCTACCTCGTCGATGGCCAGGAGAAATAGCGTTGCCGTTTCCTCTGCCACTTTCTCGCGAATGCTTCCGAATACTCGGCCGACTAAAGCACTACTTTCCCCAAAGAATTTTGAAAGTAACGCGTGCGCATTCACGCTCAAAAGCTCGACAGCCGCAAAACGGTCGCCATGTCGAATTGCCAGTTTCTGTGCCAGACCCCGGGCGAGAGATGTTTTTCCTGTCCCTGGAGCACCATACAGGAGGATAAGGCGGTTTCCACTCACTAAGGAAGGATCTACACCGGCGAGGGAAAAGTTCATGGCGCTTTCAGCGAGCGCCAGGAGCATTTGCTTGCTAGACGGGGCCACGTGAATGCTTTCCCAAACATTGAGGAGCTCGGGACACGGACATACGTAAGATGTGAAGGCTGCAGGACTCCAAGAGGCTGAGGAAGAGGAAGGTCCAGTCGCCGGGGACTCTGCATTGCTGTCCTGTCGATTCCCATGTGCCCCGTCCGTGTCCAAAGCAAAGTCCGTTCCGCCAACATGCTGACCCTCGAAGAGGGCATAAACGTGCACATGAGGCGTCGCTCTCCAGCTAGATATAGCGTTTTCATGATTTGTACTTCCCAGTTCAGTCACCACTAGGCTCTGAACGTGCTCATGCAAAAAGGGATCAAATGACGAGAAGTCAAGAAGAGGACCATGTCGATATACACGTATGTGAGCTTCTAAAAAGCCAAAAACGCGAGCTTTGACATCCGCAGGAGAGGCGACACTATCTGAAAAAAGACGAACTTCCAAATGAACGTCGATTTTTTTCATTGAGAGTGCCGCTGGAGAAAGCGTGGCAGAATTAGCAGGAATCGATAACAATGAGGAGGTCGGGTACGGAGATGGATTGAGGCTCAGAGTGCCTAGGCTCATGCTTGTCATATGATCTTTGTCGTCCTGTGATGAATTTGGACAAATTAGTAGCTCTTGCATGCAAACATTGGCGTTGCGATCTGGGATCAGGACATGCCTTATATTATGAGATGATGTATGATGAGACAGGAGGGGAAACTCTGGGGACGGATGCACGGAGGGTGGAAAAGAGCATAAAGCTGTACACCATGAATTAGAACAAGCATGTTTTCGAGGTATAATTACATTTCTTTTCGATCACAACATATGTGAAACATCAAATTGTGATCATAGAGGTGGTTGTCGTTTACAAAAATATGTGCCTGGCGGGCTTCTTTCTTGCCGACTCGAATCGGTTGCTTCCCAAGTCGGACTGCCTCTTTCGTGGTTGTAGCTCTGATCATGCATGCTCCTTCGCTTTCCCCCAAATATACAACAAAGAGACACACAGCTATGTTTGCATTCAAGGCCGCTAACACGAAAGACGTGCACTAGAAAGTTTGCATAATTTTAAAAAAAGTCAGCAATATTTTCGTGCGGTAGAGGGACATTTTACTTCCTCTTTCTATAAGTTCAACTTATCCTTTACACAATGGGAAACCTAAAGCGGCGAAAGTAGAGACCGAAATTCATTTGTGCACACACAAAATACCCAGTACAAGCATTCTTCATGAGGTGATTTTAAAAACCTGACTATGGTGTGATAGCACTCAATAAGTAGAATAAAGTGAATGACGAGAGGTGTCAAACGCAGATCGCCGGGGAGTACCCTTGTAAATGCGAGACCGCACACGACGAAGGGACCATTCACGGGTCTGATCCAGCAACATATGAAGGCAATTTAGAACAGGTACATATAATGTCTCAGGAATCCTAATCGACATGAATTTACACAATATTTGTCGATGCAGTGAAAAATTTCTTATTTCTTGGACCATTTCCCACTAAATGCCCCCTTGGTCAATTCGTACGATCCAAATTGGATAGCTCCACTTAAAAATGCACGCGTTAACCGGGGAAAAAGGCCACTAAATAATTTGGCCACTCCCTCCTCAGCCGCGATTTTGCGTGCCGTTTGCCATACTGAAGTCGTTGATGCCGGCGATACAGGAACATTGTCGTTTGTCAAAGCGGCCTCGTCGGTCATGATCCTCGTCCGAACTACATCCAATGGCGTAGACATAAGTTGGGCCACCGAACTGGCCGCTGAGCCCAGCACAGAGGATTCTAACGGATTCAGTTTGCGTGAAAACGACTTCTGTAATGCTTCGTAGACTACGAATTTGATGGCGTCTGTGGGAAACGCATAAGCAATGTTAGAAACATAGCCGCGATACAGACCTTCAAGGCCTTCTTGTTTCACAGCTTCGATGGTCCCACCGGCAGTGCTATCTATGAGGCCTGTTTGTTGCTGGGTTTTCAAAACTTCGGCAGGATTGCGAATGAGCCAGTAAGGTATATTCGCCGCGAATACAGCAGCAATGGTGGTGGCTTCCCTAAATTCGTTGCCAAATGAGTTCCTAGCTAGGCCTTTAAGGACGTCTTTGGTTGCAAAGAAAGCAGCCCCCGCTGGAGTCCCAACCAGTAGGGCAGGCCACACACCATCGTATAGATTCTTAAAAAGCTCCGCCGGTGCTTCGTTACCTTTTGAATATTGCAAACGAGTTTTCCACGTATCGATTGGATGAAGAAAAAGCTCCTTGCTTGCTCGTGATGCAGCACCACCAGCCAAGCCAGAAAGAAACTCCTGCAGAGGAGATGACTGTTCAGAACTTGTGTCCGATGCGTCTCGCCTCGGTGCTTCCTGTGCCTTGCCAGATGGCTCCGGTCGCGATACTTTCAGAGCAGGATCTGTTAGCGAAAGTCTTGTAGCAGCTTTTGCATTCGAAGGCCGGGAAATTAATGGCAACGGTGAAGAGTTTATGCTGCCGGCTAATATACACCCCAATGTCGCCACTGAAGCGGTCTTCAACAGGTTTCGCCGATCTACGCCAGCACTCTTATTTCTGATCTTCACAAAATAATCTTTACTTATGTCCAGATCGTTTGAATGTCTATGTCTTTTAAGCGGAGCACTGATTGGTATTTGTCGCACGCGGAAGTGAGAGTTACATTTTGGGGCCTCTCGTACTTTCTCGGCTGACGGAGAAATGAATGCCACGGACAAATCCATGACAGAGAACACGACGAGTCCAAGAAGAAGAGGAAAAGCATCGTATTTCATGCCTGTGTGATAAATAATGATGGAAGAAGGCATAGGTCTTGAGCGGTTGGTTTTCGCCTCGGCCCTGACTTACTTTTGTCGAATCCCGCTGACGAACAACCGATCGCGGTAGGGACAGGAGGTTATTATACTTATACCCCTTTCCCGAAACATATTCAACTTTAATTGATCATCCTTGCACGTTGTGACGGCAACTGTGTTATTTTTCCAAGACATTTCACGCAGAGCCGATTTCTTCGAACGGCAAACATCCTTTTAGTCCGCTTATCGTCCCTGTCCTTTAAGCAACACCAGGAGACGGCTGCCGGTCATGCCACCAAGACAACAATTTCAGGCATTTAAGGACGATTTTTTCCTAAAACTATCCCAGAATAATATTTTGAGGCCATGGTTGTCAAAGTTTGGACTTCCCACTCCTGTGCTCTTGGATCGAGGCACTCGAAACCATTTTGCCGTGCCACCTCTAGCGGGCTGCTCAGTTGCTGTAATTGGAAAGCAGAGTGGTGACAGTTCACATGCGCATCAGACTATCAAAATATTGACTCAGCTCATGTCCACAAAATTGGGAGCGAGTGTGGAGTGTCAAGAAAACTGCAACAAGGTTTTGGTCGATGCCACGTGGGTACGATCCCCCTTAGATGTCTCGAGCTTAGCGCTCCATTCCTTGCGATCTCTTGCCGCTCGCAAGCTCAAACATGGACGGATCGTGATACTCTCTTCCTATACACCTAGTGACATTTTATCTGCATCCCTTTCTTCAGGTCTGGCGTCGTTAGTGCGGTCATTGGCGAAAGAGATGGGAGGGACGGGCACCACAGTTAATATGGTCGTTGTACGGGTTGCTCCATTTACCCTTTCGTCCCAAACTTTCGCTTCCATTGCCTGGCCTCTGGCATTTCTACTTCTTCATGAATCTGCCTTTATTTCTGGCCAAAAAATTACTGTAGAGCTGGGTGCTGGCTCCTCAGGCGACTTCTGTGCATGGCTCGAGAGCCTAACCGGGGCTGCCAATAATGACACCTCCCGCACTCTTTCGCCCGCAGCAGAGGGCAAGTTATTAATTGGAAAAACCTGTCTAGTGACTGGATGTAGCCGCGGCATTGGTGCAGCGATCGCTACGAGACTCGCCGCAGAGGGTGCCCGAGTGTTAGGGGTGGATGTACCAGGGGCATGTCAGAGACTGACAGCATTGATGGAGGAAGTAGGAGGGACAGCCTTTTCGCAAGATTTGGCAGAAGAAGGGGCAGAGAGACGGTTGCGGGATTTTGTGCTCGCAGAGGCCCCTGCTGGCAAGCTGGACTGCTTGATACACAATGCGGGGGTGACAAGGGATAGGACCCTGCGACGAATGACTGCGGAGGAGTTTGAACAGGTGGTCAAGGTGAACCTGGAGGCCGTGCTACGGATTAACGAAGCCTTTGGTCTCCCTTCCCATACAGAGGGCGGAACGAAAAGCCAATTAGGACCTGTCTTGCTCAATCCTCTGGGTCGCATTGTTCTCCTCTCGTCCATCAACGGTATCGCAGGCGCTTTTGGCCAGACCAATTACAGCTTCACCAAGGCGGCTCTTAGTGGATATGCCCACGCGCTTGCGACTGTCTTGTCGACTCGTGGTCCTCCAGGCATAACGATCAACGCCATCGCGCCTGGCTTTATCGAGACGGATATGACGCGGAGGATGCCAACGCTTGGCAAGTTCCTGGGACGGCGGGCGAACGCCTTGTCCCAAGGAGGATACCCGGAGGACATAGCCGCAGCGACAGCTTTTTTGTGTTGCGAGGGGAGTGGAGGCGTCTCGGGGCAGACGTTACGTGTCTGTGGCCTGAACGCCGTGGGGAAATGAGGAAAGTCTGGTCATCAGAGAGAGGAGCTAATGGACTTCGGGCATCTGTGGGGATGGACCGCGTCTGCTCATGCTCCAGTGCAGTGTCGCGCATCCACCGTAACGAGGGTGGATAGGAAAAAAGGGTAATCAGTGGATGAAAAGCGGGCAAAAACAGTCGTAACATCTTTGGATACATTTCTTTATACATCTACTTCATTTACAGCCTTTTTATTTGACATATTCTCTGTTCGCGATGACAATACCTCTTGTTTCCCCTCCTCATCGCTGTAGCACATGTGTTTCTTGCCATCCTTCTCACAGCTAGACTTTTTATCTGCACCCCTCGTCTCCGCCGGCTGCAAGAAGCCGCCCTCCACCAATCTGTCACCAATCATCCGCACCAGCTCCCTCATTCCTTCCTTTGTCTGGGCCGAGACCAGGACCACGTCGGGGCTGGATGCCTCCAGCTTTGCTCCTGCAAGGACGCGGGCCATCTGGTCCCGTTGCTTATTCGTCAGGAGGTCTACCTTGTTCCAGACTTCCACCACGGAGTGCTTCAAATGCTCCGGAGTCCCCACGTCCCTCAAGATCTTGTCCACTGAGGCGTACTGCTCGGCAAACAGGGGCGTGCCAAGGGTGCTAGCGTCCCGCACATGCAGTAAAAGGTCAGCAGATACCGCCTCCTCCAGGGTGGCGCGAAAGGCGGCGACGAGCTCAAGGGGCAGCTGACGGATGAAGCCGACGGTGTCAGTGAGGAGAGCAGAGGCGCCCACGGAGGGGAGGAAGAGGGCCCGTGTGGTGGTGTCGAGGGTCTCAAAGGGCCGATCTTCCACAGAGACGGCATGTGAGTGCGTGAGTGCATTCAAGAGAGAGGATTTTCCCACGTTCGTGTACCCCAGCAAACTGACAGTCGGCTGTCGCCGGTGCTTCCGCTGCTCCATCCGCCGCTTCTCCACCGTCTTGAGCTTATGCTGCAGCACTTTGCTTTGCTCTCGAAGCTGTCTGCGGCGGAGCTCTAGCGCCTTTTCTCCTCCGCCGGCCATGAACCCTGTCCCTGACGCCCCACGTTGCTGCTCATATCCGGCAGAGGCCCCCCGCACCAAATGAGAAAGGGCGTATTTGCACTGCGCGAGCTCCACCTGCAGTTTAGCTTCCATTGTCCGGGCACGTTGGCCAAAAATGTCCAAAATAACGCTGATTCTATCTTTGACGCCCTCTGTTTGACATAATTCTTTCAGGTTCCTTTGTTGTAATGCCGTCAGTCGGGGCGTGTTTATGAAGAGAATCGCATCCGTGGCACGCAACAACCCCCTGAGTTCCACCACCTTTCCTTTGCCAATAAAGGTCTTGGGGTGGATCGCCCGGAGCCGCAGTATCTCACGTACAGGCACCGCATACCCCAGGGTCTGAGCCAAGGCGCAGGCCTCGTCCAGGAAGTCCTCTTCTTGTAACCGGTCTTCGAGGGTAGAGCGTGGAGGTGTTATGTGGAGGACTATACAGTTGGGGACCGGCGCGGATGGCACTTTTTGGGGGCGGATAGAGTAGTTTCTGTGAAAATTGTCGCCCAAAATGGGCTTTGTGGCCCTTTGCCACGACCATAGTTGTGCGGGTTCTATGGAGGCTGCGGCGAACATGAAAGTTGAAGGCAGCAACGATGCGGGCAGCTTGATCATACGACATTTTCCACAAAGAGTCCACATTCGAAACCCACGTGCGTCCCTGTAAAACAGTTCGAATAACGATGTGGGTACAGTGATAGTGTGAAACGTACTCGGGAGACCAAAAGGAAGACATGGTCAACGCATCTTACCAAGTTACCACCAGGGGTCTCCCATGGCGGTAGTTCATCTGGCTTTCTGTTCACGGCCAATTGTCTAGCACTCTTTCCCGAAGTACTTTCCACGCGTCGTGACACACCTCGGACCTCGAAACATTACTTGGGATCTTTTATGATGTTTTATTCCATGCAGTCTTCCGCCTCGCGTTGTGTGCTGGTCATTGCACTGGCGTCGAGCAGAGAGACCGGTTTGGACACATGTCAAGTTACATGCTTCCGTGATTCTATGACCGACCGTCCACACGAACACATGTACACAGCGCAACCGTAGCAACCACACATGTCGATACGTCGCTTCTCGACATTTTTCGTCGTAATTTGGGTACTGATCCTTGCTGCGATCACCCAGGGCTTTTTTCTCGCTCCTTGTGCCAGGAGCGCGACTACACTGATGCAGGCTCAAGCGAGTAAACAAAGCCAAAACCGAGTTGATGGCGGTAAACTCGACAGGTTGGCGGCTTTACAACAGGGAGTGTTCCTATCTTCAGCATTTCTATTCCTGACGGCTTCGCTTTCCTCGCCTGCGCAAGCGAAAAATAGTGCCCCTGCAGCCTCTTTTGAAGAATGTATTTCCCGGCTCCTGCTAAGCAGGAAAGTTCTCGAGCCCGTTCAAAAGTACATCAAAATTGGCCAATATGACCCTGCTCGTACCAACATCAAATACGTCACGAACCAATTTCGCCTGAAGAAAGCCATGGAGCGCGTTGTACTGCTGGCCTTCGAGAAGGACCTTCCCCAGAGCAAGCTTGATGATGCGGCGGAGGTGCGTCCAGCACGGCTGACAAAACAAAACCAATGAAGGGCTTATCTGCGACCTGATGTCTCGTACTGTTGCATCATTTATGAAACGAAGGCTCACATAGTCACTGATCACATTCTTATCTTTTCTTCCCTATGACGATTGCGTATCCTGTGCGATCTCGCAGGTGACTGCTGTGATCGACAACACTCTGTCACAATTAGATTCAAGCGTCTACACACAGATCTTCATACCCACGGATGGGGAAATAAGCCCAGATGCCCTAAAATACCAGAAACAGGTGAGTAGATATGGCTTGTGATGCGTTTCAAGCCGATTCCGTGAGGATTTTGGTGAAAAAGAAGGTTGCAAGCAAGCTCACATCCCATTAAACAATGAATCTATCTCACTTTGGGCAGGCATTTGAGTTCTACGATACGACATTGGACTCAATCGACAAAGTCCTATCCCTAGCCAGCCCTGAGGACCTTAAAGAAGCCCAAAAACTGGTAGATGGCACAAGCCTCCCCCCCTTCCTCTTCAAATCCTTCGCGGATGGGCAGACGTTCCGGCCGCCTACTCCCTAGACTGGTATCGTGCAAAGG